GGGGGGGGTTGAGAGGAGGAGGGGGAAAGGAATTACAAAAAATACCAAACAGAATTTTGGTCTTTTGAATAATAGTACGAGTTTAAAATAAGAATTGAAAAGATATATTGTACGGTGACAAATCGTGACAGCTTATAACATATTTGATACCCGTAGAATCAGTCGGGCGTGGGGAGCCCTGTGTGAAGGATAAACTGTTCCTAGCCTGTATTGTCCAATTACGGTGATTATTAGGGACAGATAAACATAGGTTCATCGTTGGCTATTGTTTGAACTTCAGCCAATCACAGAAGTCGATAAACTTAACTTTAGCATTGCTCTGTTTTGTTTTATTCTGTTTGAACTTTAGCCAATGACAAAAGTCGTTGAACTTAGGTTTAGCGTCAGTTTTTGTTTGAACTTAAGCCAATGATCGTCCTGATAAATATGTATATATGGCAAGCCAACTTAATACGTATTCATAGCAAGAATATCAAAATTATCGTACATCAAATATATATGATAGTATATAATACATATCTTGCAAAACAAATAAGGTATATTATCAACTATTATCGTGGTATCGGTTTCGGGGCCCAATAAAAAAACAAAAAACATGGATTTCACTTTCTTATCGATTCAATCTATTGGAATTATCGAGTTATTAACACGCATACAAATGAAAACATATATTTATCACCAATCTTACCTACAGTACCTGGAATTACCGGTATATATTTCGGAGCATACTTGCGATCTAGTGTCCCTAGAAAGACAACTCGAACATACTCAAACTACTTTCTCAACGGCTTTACCCTCTAATTGGTAAATCAAAGTCATCTAACATTTAAATAATTAGTAAAAAGAAGTATTAAATAAAAAATGCACAATTTTGTTGGTTTTTAATATCGTGATTCATTAATTTACACGATTTATTTGTAAATAAGATTAAATGTATTGTTATCATTTCATTATTATTTCCTTTATTTCCTCCAGAAATGAAGNTAGACATATTTACACTCCTCAAACTACATTATCATATAATAGTATAGACAGTAATACACTTCTCGTACTAAGCAATCATACAACATTGTAATAAACAGTATTACAAGCATCACACTATAAATTATACAGCATTATTATAGACAGTATTACTGTTACATAAATCTTACAATACAATCATACATTGAGTAGAACCCGTTGCACGAAGTCATACAACATAGTCATACAGTGGTGTGAAATACACAACATACAATATAATGATTAACTTGAAGAAACAGTGCAACCATGCAATGATTTCAGTTGTAGTAATACATCTCACAAGATTAATTCATACAATACAAACAATATTATGAATGGTAGTAATTGTGTCGATTATTTTTCGTTAAATTAAAATCAATCTTTTCTTTTCTTTATCTATATATAAAAACGACATTGAATAACAAACCGGCGCCTTCTACTGTACTCATCATATTCATATATATAATCAAATATTTAGGCTCACCAAGAGTTTGTAAACAAACAAAACAAACAAAACAGAAATGCTGTTTTTTCTAATTTTGTTAGGTACACAGTAGAGAAAAAGAGTCAAAATGTTGCAGTTTTAATGAAAATGTTGTTTACGTAAATCTAAACATTTCTTCATACATGTAGACGCTCTCTCTCTCTCTCTCTCTCTCTCTCTCTCTCTCTCTCTCTCTCTCTCTCTCTCTCTCTTTCTTCTCTCTGTCTTTCTTTGTGCCTCTCTCTGTTTCTCCCTCTCTTCTTTACCAATATATCAAATATGTACAAATTTACATATATGGCGTAAATTGTCTACTTGATCTTTGCTTATGTACATTGTATGTGTATATCAAAGGAATGGACTTTCATAAAACAAAAAATATTACATTAAAGCATATAAGTAATGCAGTGTGTTTTGTATCATAAGAACAACTTTCCGTTGCTCGAATGAACTCCTTCCTATCGCCTTATTTTTTTAATCTTTTTAAATAATGGTATAACCACAGATTTACTTTTAGTCTGTAAATCATACTCATAATATTTTTCTTTCACAACTAAAGCGACGTCTGGTATACCATGGATTAAATACTCCGCGATAAAAAGATTTCCCTCTATAATACTTTACAAACAGAAACAATATACCCCGTACAAAACGTTCGAAGATCACAAAGCTATTATTAGAAAGTTGAGACTTTGGATTTAAATCCCGCCTTTCATATTATAACAGTCTACACGGCACTCATCAAATAGCGTATATTAATCACCTACACAGATCAAAAGGACAAAATCGTCTCGCGTTTTTAACAACTAGGACTGGTACGCGTTCATCTGAAGAAAGAAGATACTAATTGATTTTGATATTCAGTGTAACGGTTAAGACATGCATTCTGGTGTTTTCATATAACGACGACTGGTCATCTATACTTAAGTTGTTCTGAACGTGAAATTTGAGAACCGGAGCAGACGACAGCAAGAACTAAATTCGAATCATAGAAATTCGACAAAACTCACAGGATTTAACGAATTTGAAGCTTAACAATATTTTTCGCTGATAGGTAATAACACTACTGACTAGTCCATAAGCTTTCAATGTATGACGACAACGCGAGTGCTGAAATCGATATTCAATATTAGTAAGTACCTTTTTTGGAATACTGTCAACTACTTGAACGAAAGCGGATTTTGCGCTATATGTGGTTTGCCAAGATAGAAAAGGTCATCGTATTTAACCAGCGTCAATGCTGGTATATGGTGTATGTTTGCAGATGATTAACTTTTAAAACTAGAGTTTAAAAACTGTAGAAGGGCATGACGCATAATAGTGGAAGTATATACAATGTGGACGATTGAAATCGGCATATAGATAGATATGTAGTGGTTTTGAATTGTGAAGAAAGAGTTTTATTACAACAGCGATTACTCTAAAGCGACAAAGTCTTAATCAAATGCTGTATACAAGGGCAGAAATTTGACAGCAGTTTGTGGTGTTCAAGACATTTCTACGGACAATATCGAGGAGTTCAAACGTGTGGACACTTCAAAGGTAATCTGTGCTTTTTCCCGACCTTGAGATGTTTTTGTGACCTTGTCTTCAATATTTTACAGTAACCTTGACCTCTGGAGTAACAATTTCAAAAACAAACTCAATAACACATGTTATAAGGCAACTATCCGTAACCATGTCAACAATTCAGCCAATCGGGTGGTCCTCGTCACGAATGAATATGCATTTCCGGTCCGTTTTTCCGGAAAGATCCGATACCGGTATGCAAATGACTTTACACAAAAATGTGACGAAGAAACTGCTTCCGCGAGAGATGAATTTAGATGAAAATATGAAAACTGTCGAACTAGCGAGGAGAATTCTCCATAGACAACGGCTTGGAACAAACATATTTGTCGGTGGAAGAGCCGCGCCCCGCCGATCTCTGAAAGAGTGGAAATTACACTTACAAAGGCGCCCTGAAACATCGCCGGAAATGGGTGAAAAGCAAAAAAGCTTTCTCCCTCATGTAATCAATTATCCTTCCACACCAAACACACGCTATACTGCCGATGACGTTTCCAAGTTAGTTGAGAGATTGTCAAGCTTCCCTCCAGAGAAAATACCCGAATCGAAAGGTTATCCCATGAAATTACCAAAAACAATTGTGTACAAAAAGAAATATTCGGATGATGAAATCCAGAAAATAGTGCGTCGTCTTACAGTAGAGGACATTACACGTCCTAGACCGGAAACGAGGGGGGCCATACCCATGGTGGTCAGCGTCAAACCGAGGCAGACCATGTCGCGTATTAAAAAGTGTTCAGCGGAGGAAGTACAAGATATTGTAGAAAGGCTGTACAAATTTGACGGTTCAAGACATCCGCCGGAATCACGCGGGAGTGTTGGTCAATGGGATAATGGACTTGATGAAGAAGAGGAGGAGAGGCAATAGAATATTGAACTAGCTTTCATCGGACATTCATGTGATCTGGCGCCATCTGACAAGCGACGTTATACGGCAACTGTTATATGGAGGAGAGCCGAAAATTGTGGCTTGATAAAAAAAGTACAATCGAATGTTGACGAATTGCTCACAATCTATTGGACAAGCTCTAAGTTCTAACTTTAGATTGTATCTAAGGTTCTCAGTCAAACATTAACACAAGCTACCAATCATATTTTATTAAACGTGACGTGTCCATTTATTACTGCAGAGACGGCTACATGTTTGTGTTTCTCGAGGACGGTTATGTTTTGAAAACAATCTTGTATATTTGTATGTGATATTAAAAATTGTCACATGTTGTTTTATATCTGTCTTTCCTCAGATAGTTTGTCAGATTAAACAGACTTCTAACTAAGGCTTACTCTCCAAACCTTTCAAAATGGTCAAGCACTTCTTTCTACATCCTTACACAAACCTATGAGAGGAGACGCGATTTTCGGAGAAACTCCATGCAGGCTTCTGTTTTGTTTTGGTGTTTTTCATTCCGCTTATAAACCCATGTGGGGAATCAAGTGATTTCTATTGATTCAGTTCACGGGGAAAGCGTGGAGAAATATGCACCTCGGGGGACATTTTTAGGCAAATTGACAAATTCCTTTCTTTTAAATAATTATACACAGCCTAATTTGTGAACTCTCGAGAGGATGTTTTGCCGACTTTCATGATGGCTGTTATGATGCATAGATAATATGTCCAGGGGCCTGTTCGTTTATGCGGAACAACCGGTTTGTCTAATTTTTAAAGTAACATTTTCGGGTTTAACCCTGGCGGACCTGCAAATGTTTATGGAGGCCTTGCAAGGCTCGCCTGAAAGCAGCACCAGATTGCTAGGTCCGACCTTATTTAATAAATGAACAACTTTGGTCCAAACGGTCGAACCGGTTGGATCGCGATAAACGAAAGCGGCCCAGGGGTGTTAGCTTAGATCGTTCCATACCGTAATAGACTCTGTAAAACAAGTATACTGTAAACGTATATTTTTTAGTGGTAGTCTTATTCTAGCGCTTTTCGTGCTTTAAATATTGCACTAAACGATAAATGCGCCTATTGAAGTCCATGTATATTATGCTCCACTTCATAAATGCACTAATCTACCAAAATTCGATAATACGCTAAGATTTTAGTGCGCTAAAATACAATGTAAGTACTTTTAAAGTATATCGTTGTGTCGTCGGAAATATTTAGACTCTAATATGTAAGATAGAATAAATGAAGCGCTTATTTTTTTTATTTCGGTTCCACTGGTGTAACTATCAATCGTTAATTGTGTGGTACCCAAGACGCTTGAATTTAGATAATAAACATGCTCCCATTACGAAGAGCAGGTGCCTAGGAATGTTGTTACTGCTATCCGTCTGTACGTCCGTTTGCTTGTGTTTTACGGCATTTAACAACTATGGTCGTTTAAGGACGTGCCAGGTTTTGGTGGTGGAGGAAAGCTGGAGTAACCGAAGAATAATAACCGACCTCCGCTTACTTAGCGACTGTCCCACGTCGGCTTAACCCACGACCCAGTGTTGGAGGGCTAGTGGTAGCAGAATGTCAGATGCCGTATGCTCATACGAGCTTCACAAACCTAGTTTTGAGGTGGGTCCTGCCATCTTAACATTGATGTGATATGTTCTAATTGAACGTCAATATATTTACTAGCTAAACATAAAGTAAGTGTATGTTTGTTTATGTTTACTGATAAACAAACAGAAGTGTTTATTGTACAGATATAGATTACATATACACATAATGTATACATCATGCTGTAGATTTTTAAGCATTGAACTGCTTTCAGTTGGCATTCATAGGCAATATATTTACATTTCTACTGAACTTGGAATCAATATACCTACCTACTGATTACTCTGTTATTCCACGGAGCGAGGAAAGTAGTTCCATTCATAGATTGTTTTCAATTTGGGTTTTTTGTCAAAAGTATTCAATAGCATTCAAAAAATAATTTACATCTTAATTTGCTCATTCATCTTACCAGGACGTCGTCTCACAGCGAGTGATGACGTCATAAGTGTTGATCCCTTCCGTGGTGTTAGACTTGCACAAGACCGATATTTTAGAAATTATCCGAACAAATATCAACTTCGCTCTAAATGTAAATATAAGGATAGAATCCCATTTTGTTGAGGTTTATGGGATATAAACCTCAATGGGTCTTAAGACAAATTCAAAATGAACCGCTTCGCAGTTCATAAAATTTGTCTCAAGACCAATTGAGGTTGATACCCCATAAACCTCAACAAAGCAGAATTTAATCATTAAATGAATGCCTACTTGACAAAGGCAAATTCATGTTGGATTTACCTTTATCCAGTTGGAATTCATATTGCCTATGAATGATAATTGAAAGCAGTTTAATACTTATATTTACCATATTTGGAATTTGTTCATCTCATGTATCGTGTATGCTTGTTCAATGAATAGAACAGCCATCGCCCGGGGAGTATCCAACGAAACAATTATGACGTCAACAATCGGTCCATAGCATTCATAGCCATTCATATATGAATGCCAACTGAATTTGGTAGGGTTATATAGTGGCAATGCCATTCGATGGTAAATAGTCTGTAAACTACGTCAGAATACTTGAGTTTGATACGAAAAAAACTTATAAATACATGTGATTATGCAAAAACGATTTGTTTTCTATTTCATAACCGACCGTATTTTTAATTTGACCTTTAACTGCATCCTACCCGATTTAATTTACATGTTAAATAATAACAGATATATTAACTAATTAAAATAAAGCGTCTATCTCATGATCCATACGTTTTGAACATATACTAAAAGAAACGCATTTTTTTTATTTATTTTTTAATATCCCTTAAAAATAACTGAAATGTTTTTTTACAAAATGATACGATTATAAAAGGAAATACAATAAAAGATACATTCTCCTGACCATAATGATACATATATATAAAACAAAACGATAAAAATTGCCATTTATTATTTGAATTTATACGAGGACGTTGCACAACTTAGATATATGTGATGTGGTTAAACTATTTGCTTTATATTTTTCAACCGACCTTATGTTTATTTTACTTCAAGTCTGCATACTTTCTCGATTTTATATGTAAAAACCACATATCTACTGGTCCTACAACTTGTGAATATATACTCATAAATGCGTATATGTTTTGTCTGATTTGATTTAAATTTCCCTTAGGGATCCCTGGAAAAAAACCGATACGCTTAAAATACGGACATTCTCCTGACCACATGGGCCTGTTGATACATATATATGCTGTATATATATGTAAATTTATATATTGTATGTACCCGTAGGTTACAGGATTAACGGATTAAGACAGCCTAATCTAGCGTTCACCAGGGAAAACAAACGATTAAATAACGGATCAAGGTACCACAATACACGTTCTACATATCAAGGCTGTGTCCAGATTCAGGCACTCGAGGTGACATTTGTACCTAGTACATTAATGGAAATAAATTTTAAAATAAACAAATAGCTCTTCATAACGATTTTTATTTTCAATTTAGACTCCTATCTTTCTGTCAGTCCGTTACATTAGATAAGCATATTACATGTGCATGTGTATTAATACACATTAAACATTGCTGACATTTTACATGTTGAGCAATGTTTTAAACAGTGTGTATTTATTCAAATTTTAAATATCATGCATTCAGTTAAATGTACTTAATACTGACTAAAGTACAATTCATGATGGTGAATCATACACTCACTTCACATGACTCGGGTTCATGTCACACTTTATAGCCCTTCAGCCAGAATGCAGTCGACCAAACATCATAAGCATAATTATGTCTATTCGTTAAATGCAGATTTTGTTTTTAAATTTTCTTTTTTAACTCAAGCCACAGTTATGTCTGTTCTCACACTGTCTAGCAATCTATACCAGCAAATCACTGGCCAAATGTCATGACTCTGGGACTTTCGGTTCTTAAAAAGAAATTATGTTTCAACAAAGCCAAAATGGCCCCTCCTTTGATTTCAATTTTCTTTTGGTGAGGTGTAGACCTAAACCTTATCAAAACAAAAACACACATTAAAATTCAAATGAGTACTTGGTTCGTTTTTCGTAGAAGCACAAAACTGAAATTCTCCCCAAAAGACGAATGTTGTCAAACTAACAATGCATTGAAGGATAATTTATGACGTAACCGGAACTAGATATCATATGTTACAGTATACAATGATATTTTCCAGAAAAACAATGTGTTCATTTTAGAGTAAAAGTATCGTATTACTTTTGTATACCAAAACTATTTTGAATATAGATGGACAAGATCATGAACTACCAGTGACAACAGTATCAATCCAAAATATGTGGTGGAATATATTCAAAGAAGGGGTCAAATGACCATATGGTCTGTACATCAGAAACCATGACTACGTATAGTCTAATCATTATGACTTCAAACTGATAGAAAAGAAGAAAATATTTGTTCAAGTTTGGATGGAATGAATATCTAATCAACAGAGAAGATGTTTTGAAAAGATTCGCTTGTTTATTCCTTTTCAAGATGGCCACCAAAATATTCATTTTACTGCACAATCAGTTCTTTCTTGCGGTATTAATGGAATTCAGAGATTGTGTGTTTGTTTGTTACTTATATATATATTAAAAATAGACGCCCTTTTAACAGCTGATGACATTTACAGATAATGTGGGTTTTTCTTGTAATTGTTTATTTTTCGACGATTTTTTCATAATACATATAATCATGAAAAGAAACACACACTCACACACACACACTCACACACACTCACACACACACTCACTCACACACACACACACACTCACTCACACACACTCACACACGCACACACACACACACACACACCCCCACACCCCCACACACACACACACACACACATATACACACACACACACACACACACCCACCCTCACACACACACTCACACTCACACACTCACACACACA